TCTCTGTATCCCCAACCTGACATGTAGTTTCTCTCTTCTCCCCTCCCCCATTAGGCTGTGAGCTCCTTGAGAGCAGGGCCTGAACTGTCTTTTTGGATTTCTTCATATCCTCAGCACTTAACATGGTGCCGGGAACATTAGGTGCTTAACAAATGCCTGTTGACTGGCTGACTAGTAGGTGCTTGATAAATACTTACTGTTTCATTGTTAACAGTTTTTTATTTTTCATAAGGTTTGGCTACAAGAGGGGAAGCATGATTTCTTAGAGTGCTGGTCCTGGAACGTGGAAGACAAGGGTTCAAATCCTATCTCAGATACATATTAGCTCTGTCATCATAGACTGGTATCTTTCTTAACCTCAAGCACCTACCTGTTTAAGATTTAACTACTAAGCTAACGAAGGGTTAAGATCTTTGTGGGATTCCGTTGTTTTGATAGGAGAGCTAAGTTTTAGTGGTAACATTGGTCTGTGACCTTGGGCTCAAACACTGGGAGTCCCTGAATCTCAGTTTTCTTCATCTGCATTTTTATTAAAATGGGGTTCTGCCTGTGTTGTCAAATTAATACTCAGAGAAGAGAGGCTCCCTGCCTTTCTGTCTCCTCAGGAAACTTATTCTTGATGAGAGATACCGTACAGAGGTCCAAAGAAAAGGGAAATACATTGCTTTGGTGATTTCTATTCAGAGTCAGCAAGCCATACCCGAAGAGATTGGGGGAGGGGGTGCCAATTGTGCAAACTTCCTGCCTTTTATTACTTACAAGGTGAAATCTTTCTAAAAGTATTCTGTGCTGTCAGGGCAGCTACAAATTTTCCTTGGTGCTGCATCATCAGTCACCTCAACCCATCTCTGATTTGAGGTCTCCACAATTCAAAGTTGAGTATTATTAAAGAATAACCAAGGCCAACAGTTATTAACCATTTAATAGTAAATAGCTGGCATTTATAAAATGTCTTAAATTTTGAGAAGCATATTTGACACTTTCATTTGGGCCTCACAGCAACTCCATAAGGGAAATACTACAGATATTAGAATCCGCATTTTGCAGATGAAACTGAGGCTCAGAGAGGATAAATAATTTGCCTATGGTCACCCAAATGTTATCAAAGACAGTACTTGAACCCAGGTCTTTCCTCTCAACTTTCCTCTTCTTAACTCTAGTTTCAGGTCTTTCCATTGTACCAGGAGTTCCCAACCCTTTTAAGTCCCTGTAACTTTTGTCATTCATTAAACCTTCTCTGACACACCCTATTCAATAGGAAAGGAAATAAATTTTAGATCTTTTTTACCATATGTATGCACACAATAAATAGATTAATTTTCCAGAAGAAAACTTCATTATGCAATGAAAAAATTTAGAATCATAAGTTGTCAAATGTTTATCAGAACGCAGTCAAGTAAATTCATGAGAACTCTTGATTTTATTTCTGGTCAACCAACAGTTTTATTCTTGATACAGTTTTGGACAAAGATACCTGAATATCATCTTCAGCCTTCATTTTATTTCTTGCTTTGGATTTGATGGAAAACAAGACTGAGAAAGGGCATTAGATTTGGTAATTAAAAGGTCATTGGTAACTTTGGGGAGAGCAGTTTGATTGAGTGATGAGGTGTAAGAAGCCAGATTGCAGAGGGTTTAGAACATAGTGAGAGGCACCAGTTATAGACATCTTTCTCAAGTTTAGCCACAAGGGATGAGAATAATGATATAGATGAGAACTAGCAAGGATGGTCAGATCAAAGGAGGGATTTAGGTACATTTGTAGGCAGCTGGGAAGCAGCCATTACATTGGGAGGGACTGAAGATCAGTGAGAGCGTGGGGATAATAGGGCAATCTACTGGACGAAATACAATCATGGGTAAATGTAGAGGGGTATCCTTACCTTGGCAAGAAGGACCCCCTCTTCATGAGAGACAGGAGTGAAGGAGGAGAGGAGGCGGGATGAGGCAAGGATAGAGAGCTCTTGGCAAATGGCCTCAATTTGGGGGGGCAAGGGCAGGTAAAGTCAGAGTCTTTAGCTGAGTGAGTTGGGGGGAGGGAGAACCATGGAAGTCTTCAGAGAAGAATGAAGAGGTTTAGAAAGTCACAGTGCTGAGTAGGGATAATGAATGGATTAGGGAGATGTAAAAGGATTACCTTGCTGCAGTGAGGGCCCAGTTGAGATTATGTAACATATATTTGTAGTGGACACAATCAACAGAGTTTCTTGATTATTCTTCAGTTCCACTGAGCAGCATGATATTAAGAGTGAAAAGAGGAAGGCTAATCCAGCATTGAGATTTTGTAGGGCATGACTGGTGATAGCATAAGGGGGCAATAGACCCAGGTCTAGAGGTTAGTGTAGAATTGAATTGGTTTAACAAGGGATTGAGATTAGAGAAGGAATGAGATAGTAGTCAGTGCAAGAGTGATGGCCTGGAAAAGCATTAAAGGAGAGTGGTAGGTAACTATGAAGATGAAGGACTGGGGATAAGTGTTAAGGGTTGTAAAGCAAAAGGAAAGATAGAATGATAAAAAAAAATTTTTTTCATCAGATAGAGCAGAGAGAAAGATACAATTATAAAATTATACTCAGATTAAGGAATTTCAGAATTCAGAAACATGAAAGTGAAATACATTGGTGGCAAGATCAGTGGTTGTGATCATCAGGATTCATAGATTCAAAGTTGGAAGAAGCGTTAAAGGACTTCTAGTTCAGCTAAGGGAACTGAGACTCAGATAAGTGTCTCATACCAACACCGCCACTCCACTCCCCATGTCCCTGGCAAAACCAGGTCTTCTTAACTCCAGGTCCAAGGCTTTATGGCACTATTCTGCTTTCAGGCATAGACATTATAGATAGCAGGTAAAAGTAGAATAAATAGAAATCACTGAACATTAAATCTGTACTCGGGTGTGGAGATCAGTCTTTCACCTATTATATTCAGCTTAGAATAATAGTGAAGAAAATTGTGAAACCCCCTAATTAGTCAACCTAAACAAGGAAATACTAATTGCTTTTTTTTTTTGGTAGCTTGGACTTATATAGCACTATTAAGTTTGTGAAGAACCTTATATAAATTATTTCATTTAATCCTCAGACATCCTGTGAGGTAGGTGCTATTACCATTCTTATTTTACAGGTGAGAAAACTGATACTCAGAAAGGTTAAATGGTTTCCCCAGGGTCACACAACTGAGATAGCATTAGAACTCAGGACTTCCAGATTTCAAGTTAAGCACTCCACTTATTTCACTGCCTCTAGCAAACTATTTGCTGTACCATTGTTTTGTTTTATTTTGAAACTTGATTCATGGTAGCTATGTGGGCAGAGTTACTGTTGTTGGTCAGGATACAGTAGAATACTCAGTTTAAAATTCCACCTGTAGCAGTGACATTCCAGCAGTGATCTTCAAAAGCAAGTCAGCATTGGGGTAGCTGGGTGGTGCAGTGGACAGAGTACTGACCCTGAAGTCAGGAGGACCTGAGTTCAAATCCAGCCTCAGACCAAACACTTGACACTTACTAGCTGTGTGACCCTGGGCAAGTCACTTAACCCCAATTGCCTAAAAACAAAAAACAAAACAAACAAAAGCAAGTCAGCACCTTATGATTCTCTCCTACTCCCTCTCAATTATGATAAATCTACATTAGTAGATTTCACTTGAGTGGCTCAGTAATTATCTATCATTTGTTCTCTGTAACTCAGGATAAGAGAATGGAATGGTGTAAGGCTCCCATGTTCTTTTTTTTCCTTCAACTAATTTTTCACAATTACATGTTAAAATGTTTAACATTCATTTTTAAAAAAAATTTTGAGTTCCAAATTTTATTCCTTCCTTGAGAAAACAAGCAATTTAATATTTATTATACACGTAAAGTCATGCAAAACATATTCCTATATTAGCTGTTGGAAAAAAAGAGACAAAAAATAAAACAAGAAAAGTAAAACAGTTTTTAAAAGTATGCTTCAATTTGCACTTATTTTTGTCGTGGGCTCCTTGGAATGATCTTAGTTCATTGTTTTGATCAGCGTAGCTAAATCTTTACAATTGATTATCCTTATAATATTGTTATTACTTTGTACACTGTTCTCCAGGTTCTGGTTACTTCACTTGGCATGAGTTCACATAAGTCTTCCCAGGTTTTTCCTGAAACCATCCTGCTCAGCATTTCTTTTAACACAGTAGCATTCCATCACAATCATACACCACAACTTGTTCAGCCATTTCCCAGTCAAATGGCTATTTCCAATTCTTTACCACTGTAAAAAGAGCTGCTGTAAATATTTTTGTGCAAATAGGTCCTTTCCCCTTTTCTTTGATCTGTTTGGGTATTGCTGGAACAAAAGGTGTGCAAGGTTTTATAGCCCTTTGGGTGTAGTTCCTAAGCAGTTCTCCAGAATGGACTAGTTCACAACTCTGCCAACAATGCATTAGTGTTTTGGTTTTTCCACATCCTCTCCAGCGCTTGTCATTTTCCTTTTCTGTAATGTTAATGTTCTAATGGGAAGCTGGTCCCTCCTCCAAGAGAAGAGAACTTTCATCAGAGAGATAACAGAACTTGAAATCAAAAGACATGAACTGAAATCTTGGCTCTGCTTCTTATTGGTTGTGTGATTTTGGACAAGTCATTTCACTCCCCCCCCCCTTTTTTATACTTTCTCACTTCACGATCTCTGCTGGAGAAATAAAGTTCTTTGTATGTTCAGAATGTATGACTCCACATATCCAGAACACTTGGTTAGTTTTTTTAAAATAATCTCAATGTTTTTCCATTTTTTCCCTTGATGCTTTTTTAGCATCCTTGTCATCCTTGTCATCATCAACAACTGTCTTGCTGACTTTTTTGTTTTGTTTTAACATTATGGTCTCTTCCGAATATCACCTAGAGAAATGAGTGACCCTTTTGAATGCATATTAGATTTCACATATCCAGAACACTTCCCGTTAGAACTGTTTTGGCCTCCGTGCTTGCCTAGTTCTTTTGTCCTGACTTTTTATTTCATCTTTGTCCTCAGCCACACCAGACACGTGATGGGTGACCCCACTATGTGAAGAACATTTGTGTGATCCAAGAAGTTTTAAGACTGAGTCCCTAAGCGATGCAGACCATTAGTGTAACAAGGAGCCTCTGAGGTTTTGGGGAAGCTTTCTTGATGAAAGTGGGGAAAGGCAAGAGAGAGAAGGTAAGATAAAAGGCAGAAGCAGTGAGACCAGTTTGTAGCATAAGGTATGCTGGGGACCTGCTGGAGATCCAGTAACAGGAAGGAAGTTTAGAGCAGGAAGGGATCCTGTAAGTCACTAATCCAGTTCCTTTGTTTTACAGAGGAGGAAACTGAGGTTCAGAGAGATATTAGTTGAAGGCACATGGGTAGTAAATCACAGAGCTGGGATTACATCCCCGGTCCTCTTAGCTCCAAATCTGGTTTAGGAAGCAAGTGTTCTGTTTTGTTTATTTTAAACAGCCAGCAGTCAGGGAGTTCTTCTGTACTCTGCAATCTATATTTTAATCTTTATAGCAAAGTAAACATCTTAGTGTTTTAATTGGGGGAGGGAAGAAGAGCTTTTTTTTTTTAAATCATGAAACTAAAACTATTCAAAGGGAGAGAAGGGTCTCAATTATGATGGATAAAGTTCTTTATTTTGGTTCTTCAGAACAGATTTTTATTACGAAAATCATGAGCTGCTTTGCTGGTTTGTTTGCTTATTTGTTTGTTTCGTTCAGACACTTAATATCTGGTGGCATGTTTTGAGTAGAGTAAATATCTCAGAGAGCCAGTCTCAGAGTCTGGACAGCCTGGACCCAAATCCTATACATACAGACTAGGTGACCCTTGTTAAGTCATTAGTGCTCAGGCAAAAGTTGGTAGGAGATGGTCCCCCACTAGGTAGAGCTCTACAGAGATATAATCACTGGGCCAAAAAAGGCAGGGGTGGGATGGTGGTTACGCATCAGTGATTTTATTGATATAGGACACTTGTGAAACTCAAATAGAAATAGATCCCTACAAGTCACATATTGACTTAGAAAATCACATATTAACATTATCTACATTGTATTTTTATTTATTTTGGTAAACATTTTCCAGTCTCTGGTTTAGGGAACTTCATTTCTGCAGAGTTTTTGTTTTGCAAATTCTAGGCCCTGAGAGGTACCTGGGACACTACAATTAAGTGACTTGCCTAGAGGTCAAACAGCCAGCTAAAGGAGAGTAGATTAAGAACTGTGGCAAGGCCCTGACCTGCAATTCACATTTCTAGCTCTCTTCCATTCTTCATCTGCATTTCTTGCATTCCAGCTCAAATGCCCATTTAGCCGTAAGAACACCCTTCTCTCTTTAGTCCTGATGGATCGGATTTGAAATGAGAAAGACCCAGGTTTAGGGTTCTGACACTTTCTAACTTAACCTGTGACTCCAAGGAGAAGAAATAGTGAGAGGTGACGTTTTCCATTTTTAGGAAAGGAGGAATGGTTCCGTATCAGGGTCATAACAAAATACAGTGCTAGACCAAGAAAAGTACAATTTTACCATACTTGTCCTTGTAACGGTGCTTTTTAAACAAGCCTGCCAGCTTCTCCCTGGGTCTCTTCCCCTGGAGAATTTCTGCTCCCACCTAACACCTTCATTCTCTTCTCAATCTGAGGTTCTTAACCTATCTGTGTGTTATAGACCCCTTTGACAATATAGTGAAGCCTAGGGAGACCATCTCAGGTAATGTTTTTAAATGCATATCATAAAATTTAGCATTACAAAGGAAATCAAGTCAGTCTTTTTAGGCCTCACTCCCACTACTCTGTGCTTGAGGGACACTGGCCTCTTGGCTGTTCCTCCTGAGGGTGGTCCTCTGGGCCTGAAATAGTCTTCCCTCCTCATCTCTGCTTCTTAGCTTCCCTGACTTCTTTCAGGTCTAAGTTAAGAAGCTTTTCCTGGTCTTCCTCAGTCTTAGCTCTTCCCCTCTAAGGTTATTGCTGATTTTATCTGTGTATAGCTTGTTTGTACATAGATGATTGTATGTTGTCTCTCTTATTAGATCTGAACCCCTTGGGAGCAATTTTTTTTGCCCTTCTTTGTATCCCCAGTGCTCAGCACAGCACCTAGTACGTAGTAGGTGCTTAATAAATGCTAGTTAACTGTATAGAAATCATTTATCAAATTAACTTTTTTAAACACAAGTTCATAGAATTCAGGTTAAGAACCCCTGTTTGAGAGCAGCATATAGCAGCAGGCATGTTTTCTATGAAAAAATGCATTCTGACTTGCAGGCAAACTAATATAAATCTTTAGGAGTGATTTGAGAACTGCGTTTATCAGATCTTTATCATCTGCCCTACGTTGTAGATGTTAAAAGAACATGGCCTTAGTACTGATTTGTAGAAGGGTGTTTTAAATGTTCTTCTAATAGAATTTAAAAGTCCTATGATCTGTTTAGCTATAATAACAACAGATTGACATTGATTCATAAAGATGACCCCAAATGAGTCATTGTTATCAGACTGTGAATAGGCCCAAGGGGCCTAATTTTTTTTAACGAAGTCTCTCCACCCTCCCCATCTCCGAATCTTTCTCACTTGGTGAAGTAGATGGTGTCAGAAAACTTATCATAAAGATTTGTTGTTGTTCAGTTGTTTCAGTTGTGTCCAACTCTTCATGACTCCAGTTGGAGTTTTCTTGGCAGAGGTACTGGGAGGGTTGGTCATTTCCTTCTCCAGCTTATTTTACATATGAGGAAATTGAGGCAGACAAGCTTAAGTGACTTTCCCAGGGTCAAACAGCTAGGAAGTATCTGAGACCACATTTGAACAAAGGTGTTCATGACCCCAGGTCCAGCACTCTATCCTTCGGCCGCCTAGTTACCCCCTTAAGGATTTAGTCTCTATTTAAAATATAAATCTCAAAAAGGAGAGGTAGTGCTTATAAACTGTCAGCCATTTACACTTCAGTATAAATGAGTTTTACACTCTCCCCCCCAAATGAAAGACTAGTAAATTTCTAAGTAGCCTAGTTGGTAACTGTGAAGCTGGAAGCATGAAAAGAAATTTCATATATTTCACAGTTTTACCTAGAACCAAGAGTGACAGTTGTACTGTGAATTATTATTATTTTTCTACCAGTAGAGATGGGCTTGCACAGACCTGCCCTGGCTCATTCACTCATTGTTTCTTAAGTTCAATAGCATATGTATGTTTTCAGTATGGCTCCTTAGGGTGTAGCTTGTGGCCAGGGAATATAGTAATGACCCACAGAGTGATCAAGCCTGTAACCTTGGCCTTATTTGCACAGTTCTCTTGCCTATGGTAGGGGGAGAGTGGTTCATAATGCAACCGTCATACTACAACCTTTCTTTCCAGATGCTTAGTCCAAGTTCTTTAATATCTGATTGGAATTTAGAGTTTCTTTCTGCAGTCCACAAGACATGCAACAGAATATTTAATTATGGTTTGAGGATTAGCAGTGGACCTAACTGGCCCCTGGGATTAAGGGCTAGAGGTTAAAATTACTGATGTTTAAAGCAGGATTATGACAGCTCATCAATGAGTTATCAAACCATGTGAAAAGTAGAAACCTTTTCATGGCTTTTTTTCCAATAGCTTGATCTAATCCATGTTTATTTTCATATGTCTTTGAATATCAGCATTCTAGAGAGATCATCCCATCACTCTACTTTTGTTCCAGAGTATCTTGGCCATTGTTAGGTACGTGTGTGCACGTGTGTGTGCACGCGCGTGCACCCCCCTTCTCCCCCCAGCCTTTCATTATACATATTTATATATGTCTCATCTCCCCCACCAGACTCTATAAACTCCATGACCCAGGTCTCTAATCTTAGGGATCAATTATTAGGCCTAATTCTTTTTTTGTATCCCTTCTAGTACTTGGCACAAGTACTTAGCACACAGTGGGTAATAAGGAAATATTTGTTGAATTGAATTGTTGCTGTCACTTAACTAACTCTAGAAATGAATGATAACCTTTTATTTTTGAGGATCAGAGTAGAATGTGGTTAATTCTCCTCCCTTCCCCCATATACACACTGCCCCGGTAGTTGCTGTTTCCAATTTATAACCCTCTGTTTTAAATTCAGGAACCTGTGTTGGGACTACAGAGTTGAAGCAGTGCTTAATTTTTGTGGCATCATTGGCAGCAGAGTTAAAGAATGTTCCCGTGCCTACTTGAAACAAAAGCAGACTGTTTTTAAAGGGAATGAATTTGAATGAGAAGAGAGAAAACCAGAGAGAAATTTCATCCCTACTTCTTCCTCCTTCCCTAAACCACCATCCCCCCTTGTTGTAGGATCGGTTCTGTGTCTCGTTTTTAACTTAACTGTGTGAGATGCAAAAGTAACAAAGCAGGTTGTGATAAGGGAGGCTGTGTGGGCTTTTTTGGAGAGGTCTGTTTTTAAAGCAATACAAATGGGACTCTGCCTGCCTTGTGGGAAAGGGAGGTTTCTTTTTAGAACAACATATTAAGAAAGTCTTGTCAAGAAAAACAAAATTACTCCAGAAAATTTCTTAAACTGGTTTATTCTTCTTATTTTCCTCCTTCTCCTCCTCTACCACTAATAGTGATGATGATAATAACTAGCATTTTTATGGTACTTTAATGTTTGTAAAGTAGGATCACATGAAGTAAAAGGCAGCGGATCTCTTCTTCCTTTAACTGTTCACCTATCCATGACTCCATTGTACGGGTTGTTAACCTTTTTTGCTTTTAATATTTTGATGACTATTTCAGCACAATTGATTTCCTTTGTTATGTTGTATATTTCGTCTTTGACGTCTGAAAACTCTCAGAAGAGGTACTTGGGCTTCACCAAACTGCCAAAGTCCTTCTGTCTGTGACAGAAAAAATGGTTAGGAACTCCTGCCTTAGTGAGTGAATGTTGACTGACTTAAGATCAGTCTCCTTTCTGATTCTTTTTTATGCCTTTTTTTCTTGCTCATTTAAAAACAAATTTTACTGATGTCTCTTGATTTTATATCACCTTTATTCCCAAATAAGTCTCTCCCCTGTCTGGTGAGACTTCTTTTGAAACAAAGATTTTAAAAAATTAAAAGTGGGGCAAAAAAAACCCCCAGCCCAGCAAAATGAGCCAACCCATCAACCAAGTCTAACAGTATATGTGATATTCCTCATCCTTCCTACCTTTCCAGTGATGAAAGGACAGATTTGCATTTTCTTAACTT